AAAAAAATCAGATTAATCTAATTAATTGTATACTGAAAACACAATCATTTAGCGGAACAATGTCCACTAATTTTTTATAAGATTAAAAGATTAATTATCTCAAGTTAAGACATTAAACAAAAAAACATGACTAAGCTTTTAACTTTTGTTAATAAAAGAATACAAAAACTCAACTCATAATGCGTTATCTGACACGAAACGTGAATGGATGCGATGCTTTCATCAAACTCATAACAATACACACGGTTGCAGGGAAGCAAAGGTGGTGGAAGGGTAGCGTTAGTGTCAGTGTTACCAACTGCTCTGCTCCTTACGTTATCCAATGACGGCTGTCTTTTTCCTTCCCACCCACTTGCAAAAGGTAAGATTTTCAAAACACTATAATATATACCAGTTCCAATTCATCAATACAACATTCTTATTTTTATTAATTTCGTCATAAATAAATTGGAAATCGATTCTATTGGATCACAGAATCTACAAGTAGAAATCTGTCTTCACATCCACAAATAATGTTACTTTAATTTAACCATAGCCGCCCATGTATTTTTTTTCTTTCTAAAATAAATAAATCATTCTCTTATCCATTTTTACCTATAAACTGTTTGCTAAATTGCCCCAGAGACAAAGCAGTACGAGGCTGGGGATCCCTTGAATATAGAGCATAAATGGTATGTGGTGAGGTGAGGTGAAGGGCAAGGAGGTGGAGGAGAGGACCTACCCACCTACCCACCGTACAACACCCCTCTTCCCTTCTTCAATATTCATCTCCACCATCACTACCACCATTAATACCTTTTAATCAATCCTCTTCTGTTCATGTGCACACCACCCCGAGAATTGTTGTCCTTTGGCCTTCTTTTGTTTCCATTTTCTTGGGGTGTGTGGACCAATTACTGCGTCAATTGCAACTACAACGGATCTGTTATAGGAACAAAATATTCCCATAACAGGATTAATTATTCAATTGCCCCAGAGATTCTTTAGATATGGGTCTTTGCATCTAGACTTATCTTCATCTTTGTTCTGTTTTTTTTTTTCCTATCGTTCTTGTCTTGCTAATCCCATTTTCCAGGTGTCAAAAACCCTGTTACAGATCTTGGTGCCCCACCTTATTTAACTTCCTCGCTTCAACTCCTTCATAGGACCCATTGCTATAGATTCAATCTTTCATTGAATGACAGCTGTTAACTTCGTATGTACGCTTGTGCTCCTTTTTCCTGTTGTAAGCCAATAAGAGGGAGAAAACTGTTTCATAGGCTTGTTTAATCTTTTTCTTTTCTTTCTTTTCTACTCTACATAGTAGCATAACAGTGGTTCAGGCTTTCAAGTCAAGGCAATTTCCACCCAAGTTCGTCGGTCTGCGTGGTTGTGAATCTTGTTCAAACTTTGGGTAGAAGGCCCACCATTGGGGTTTTGGTGGGGTTTCTTTGAACCAAAATAAAAGCCATCTTTAAAAGGTGTTTGAAGATACCAACTTCGCTTCAGTTTTGGTTAATAGTGAGGTTTCTTCTTATAAGCTATTGCCTTTCCGCAATTGGGTTCTCCACTGACTCTATCTACAGTCTAGCCTGCCTCTCTCTCTCTCTCTCTCTCTCTCTCTCCCTCTCATCACATATGCCAAATCCAATTTTGACCCGTAAAAAACTTTCAATATTCTAATGCTACTTTACTTCATCACTTGCATCTCCTTCTTCTTGTTTTTAAAGTCCCTCCTTCTCAGACCTCTCCCATCATGGGCAACTGAGATGCGGTTGCTACTCCTTTTGTTTTCTCAAGAGTTGTCTGTGAGAACAATCTCCAAGCTGTTCAGAAACCGCTTCTGGCTTGGATTTGTTTGTCAAATACCTGCAGGAATGTCTCTGGTGAGGAAGAGCCTGACTTCAAGAGTAGAGAATGTTGAGGAAAGCCATGGCATGTCAGTTTTGGATTTGCCTGAGTTGGCCTTGGATTGCATTCTTGAAAGGCTACCTCCTTCTTCACTGTGCCAAATGGTTGCCGTTTGCCGCTATTTGAGGGAGAGATGTGTGAGTGATCACCTTTGGGAGAGGCACATGAAGCAGAAGTGGGGTAGTGTTATTGGTCCTGCTGCTTACAGGGAGTGGAAGTGGCATGTTGCTTCCAAAAGGAATGTTGGGGGTCTTAAACATGGCAGGCAAAGGGGCTTGATGAGATTTTGGTCTCTTCGTTGGCCTTTGCAATGGATGAGACCAAAGGTTGATGAAAATAATAGCCTCAAGCAGAGGACTTCTTTACCTGTTGACTCAATCATGAACTGGTATCTTGCTATTGAGTCGGGCAACTTTTGTTTACCTGCTCAGGTCTATAACCGTGAGGTATGTAATATGTGCAAACCCTTTTGTTCTACTTTTCTATTGAAAACTTACACCTACCTTGCTAGCTACAAATAAAACCAGTTGCTTGAATTTCAATTATATACCATGGGTTCTGTTTTTTTTTTTTCTCACAAGTTACATTTTTTCTGTTGTTGATGTAGAATGGTCATGTTGGATTCATGTTATCTTGCTATGACGCTACAATTAGCTATGATCCACGAACTGATACTTTCCAAGCCAGGTAATTGGCATGATTAAAGATGATCATATAGTCTATAGATACATATGTTCACATTAGTTCCATAATCTTAGAGATTTCATTATCAAGTTTGAAGATATTTTAAAAGAAGCGTAAGAGGAAAATAAAATGAAATTTAGATCTGATGACGTAATTATTGATTTGTTGCTTACTACAGGTATCCTCCGCATGGAAGAAGAGCAGATGCTAAAGAGTGTGGCATCCCATGGGAAAGGCTAAGAGCCCCTCCTATTGATGCTTCTCCACATGATCTTCATGTCTCCGACTGTTTAAATGATTTGTATCCGGGTGATCATATAGAGATTCAGTGGAGGAGAAAAAAAGAATTTCCTTATGGTTTGTTCCATTCTCAAATATCTTGTGTTATTAATTTTTGCATTAATCCTGGTAAAAGGTCTACCCCTAAGAACCATTTAAGTTTTACTAAACATTGAAGAGAATAACTACATACTGCAGGACCATGTCTATATATTAAGAGTCAACAAAAGGGGCATTTGGGTCTACTTTGAGCCTTTGATATATAAAAATGATCTCCATTTTTCTCAATTATTCATTTTCTTTATACCCTTGTGTTGGGATGTTGATGATTGAGAACTCATTTTCGAGTGTTATTGACATTATTCTAAGCTGTGCCCTTAATCTTGTATACCTTGATTGATATAAGAGCCTTTGTATTCTTCATATTAGAAGTATATGATGAACTTATAATAAATTAAAATGAATTGCTGCGTGACGAGTTCCACCTTAATGGCAGGTTGGTGGTATGGTGTTGTAGGCCACCTGGAGTCATGCAATGGGAGTGAAAATTATTGCCGATGTCACAAAAGTGGTGAGTTAATTTTTTAACTTCCTTTTGGATGATTGCTATTATCAATCATTGGTTTTTCTTGGTTATAAATGTATCATCAATTAATTCATCTTTTCTTCCCTTCTAGCAAAATAGGACCATATTCTGCCTCTGAGTATGATTGATAATCTTGTCGATCAGTGAAAGGAACAAACTTGGGGAAAAAATGGTTGTAGGATATAGATGGATGATGCTTAGGAATTTTGCAGAAATTAAGAAGCACATAAAGTTTGCTGGTTTATTATTTTTAATATATTAAGATTTTTACAATCTTCAATTATTATTATTATTATTATTATTAGTGTGGATATACATTGAAAAAAATTGACATGCTTTTGTAGTTAGTTTAATTTGGCAGCCAGACCAAAGGTTTGGCTAGGTCTTTCTGGATTCTAATCTATTTAAATATGGACCACCTGCTATGCTATTTGGTTGGTCCCCAAGACATTCATGGTCAGTATGTCATCATTTCCATCAACACATTGATAATTTGTGTCTCAGTGGGCATTTATGGCTAACTATGCTAAAGAACTAGATTCCTTTTGTAGGCTGTTTCATCTCTGTTAGGAATCTTTTTGCTTTGTGGGACTAACATGATTTTTATAAACCGAACACTACTTCCTCTATCCCTATTTATAAAACCCTTTTTAGAAAAAAAAAATTGTCCCGTTTTATAACACCCATTTGTAATGGAATGATGCATTACTTATTTATTTCCTAAAAAGCCTTTAATTAAATATTTGAAATAAATCATAAAAAGTTGTTCCCTCTTAATCTGATTTGAGAATATAAGTCCTCACCGATACCGAAGTCTCTTTCAACTGCTTTAACTCAAAAAAATGTAAGGATAATTTTGAAACAAAAATACATATTAGTGACAAATTTATTGTTTTTAACTAGTTTTCTTAAAGAGTGTGAATTACTAAAAGGGTCTTATTGGGACGGAGAGAGTGTTTTTTGTCTTCTGGTCTTGTTAAGTATATAGATAGAATATACCATGACATCCTTATAAGGTATCGGTTGCAATATTTTATTTCACATTCCCTTCATAAGCAATAGCACTCATTTTATGATTATGCTTATGTAACAAAATCAAGTAATACGGGGTTAGTTGCTTTGTGTTGATAAGGCCTATTTTCCTTGCCTTGAATTCTGAAGAATGAAATCCAACAAACTTGTGCTTCGTTAAAATTTAGTTATTTTAAGTCTTTCACATTTTACCAATCAATCATAATTGGATGAAAATTTTAAATTTATAAAGGTTGCAATCATTGACTGCTAAAATGATGTTGAAGGGGTGGTCAAAGGCCACTATAACAAGAGTCTAGGAATTAACATTTTTATATAACATCCTCTCCCTGAGAGGGGTTTCTTGAGATTCAAACATAGCTTACTTAATGCTAAATGTGTTGGTTGCAGACACTGTGGTGCTAGAGTTTAATCATTACACACCTGGCTCACGATGGAGGCAGACAACTGTGAGTAGGAAAGACCATAGGGAGGAGGGAAATGAGGCTGATGGATTTTATGGAGGAATAAGAAAGATTAAGAGTGAGGCTGAGATTGCCATTTGGAAACGCCTTTGGCCATCTGAAGTCTTGGATTAGTAGGCACTGGATCTGATCAAATTCTCTTCAACTTAGCATGATTTTATAGAAGCTGTCTCAGCAACTGAAGCATTGACTGGTTCTGCTTTATACATGCCAATATACAAACATGAAGTGGACTTTCAGATATTTAGGCCAACCCGATTTCTTCTTCTGTCCTTTGTCACATTTTTTCATGAGAAAATTTATGCATATTGATGTGCTTTCCCTCATTGTAAATTGCTCATTTACGCACAAATGTAGAATATTCATTCCACTATATATAGAATCTAGCTGATAATCTCAAATTAGTACCTTTGAACTGATACTAAAACAGCTTCCATCGCAATCAAGTTAAGGCATTATTCATATGCAAACAATTAATTTATTATATGCATAAACAATGCTTGCTCCCTTTAGCCACGGAATTTTCTTATGATTTTTTATCCAGGTATACTTCCTCAGGGCCATTTATATTAGCCATTTTCTGTCTAATGCTAATCGTATTGGTCATGTGGGGTGAAAATGTGTTGTCCTAAAACTGTTTTGAGAAATGGCATATAAAGTTGATGCGGCTAGCATTAAATGGAAGCTGTTTTAGAGAGTTGACACTGCTAGAACAAGGAGAGTTGTATGTTACTTAGAGTGTGAGAATACCTGAATCTCTAATCTGAGGACAGCCATATACATCCAAGAAATCTGCTTTGGTCCAAAAGAAAAGAAATTGATTTTACTAAGCATATTTCAAAAAGTTCATACTGGAGAAAACCAACTTCTGATTTCATTGGTATAATGAGCTTGCAATCTGAAAGATCAATCATTCTTTAAAACCAATAGAAAGAGTAGAGACAAGAAGGAATCCAACTGTAGTCTGCACACTTAGTTAACTTATTCTATCATGAAATGGTTGAAGCAGAGAAAGAGCCTATGCTTGTAACATTTGGAAGTCCTTTTGGTTATATTATATCAACAGGGTATGGGTTTCAGGGCTTAATTCCCAAGAATGTTGTCTTCAATTTCTACTAACTAGTATGTTTAGCATTTGATCCACCCATGTGTGCATTCATTATCTTGATCCAACTTCATGCACCTTAAAAGAGGCCCTTTTCATTCTAGAATTGATATTTCTGGATGTAAAAAATACAATTCCAAATATCTATTTTGATATGAAGGAGTTGGCTATGGCTTCTTGCACCCTATCAGATTTCTTGCTGCACCCATCAAAAGTTTCCGTTCCGTAATAAGAGTGGAGTGATTGTCTTCCGGAAAAAAAAATTCTGGATTTGTTTTAATGTGTTATGGAAAATGAAATCTGGAAATTTGAAATGGTGCTAGCCTTTCGTTATCTATTCACTTTTCAAAACAAAACCTCTTTCAAGTCCATCTTTCTTCGTGTTCATAGCTTTCTTCTTGGTCAGTTTCTTGCTGGATCTTCATAAATTTCCCCTTCCCCATATAAAAAAATACAACTTTTAGATTATATAATCCCGATGTCATTTTCTTTCTTAAAAAAAATACTTCCGAATTACACAATCTAAAAGACAAAAAATACTTCTTAAATGTGTAATCCGAAAGCTAAATAACTTTTGGACTGTGTAATCTAAAAGCTATTTTCTTAACCCTCTTCAATAACTTTTGAATTACACGATCTAAAAATTATTATTTACATTCAAATTATACAATCCGTGAAGTACAAACTGAAAAACAAAATGAGAGTGCAATAGGAAATTTATGGAGTTGCAGGAAGAAGTTGCTTTCTTCCTAATAATACCAAGTTGGTAAGACGAGGCACCCCCAAAGCCAGTCTTGGCCACTATTTAAATATCTGTTGAGGAATTTCTTCTTGCACTTCCATAATATTTTCATGCACCTTCAAACATTTTTAAATTTGAATTTCGGAATATGCAATAAAAATACAAAAATTGTATTCTGAATTACACAGTTCCAAATATAATATGGAAAATACAATATAAAATCTGAAATATAAATTTTACATTCTAAATTATCGATTCAAAATATATTTTTTTATTTTATATTCTGAATTATACAATTCAAATTTTTTTTAAAAATTTTAAATTACTGACTCTATAATCTATAATATAAAACTGTTTCAAATTATATACTACAAAACACAGATAAAAAATATATACTAAATTATAAATTTTATAATACATCTTTTTGTTTTATTTTCCATAGAGTTTAGTATGAGAAATATATGTCTAGTGAGAAAAAAAATAAATAAATAATGGAGGAGGGAATCTGCTTGGAGTAGGAAAGTAGGCTATGCGTGAGAGGGAAGAGGGTGCAGGACTGTGTGGGTCTTTCCAGCATTTCCTTTTACTTTCTGTGTAAACTTTAAAAAAATTGGATAAGAGGTAATTGATGGTGAGAAGAAGAGAAAAGAAGAGAGGAGAGGAGAGGAGAGGAGAGGAGAGGGGTGCACCTGGAGGAAGAGAATACAAAAGTTTTGTCAATCTATATTTTTAATTGTGTAATTTATTTTTAAAACTTTTTCAATTACTTCTTTAAATTTAAAACATATAATATTTTTTTATCAAATTTTATTAAATTTATTTAATGTTTCAAACACGATTTAGAATAATATTAATGTATAATTTTTGATATATTTTTACATGTTAATTAAAAAAAATATTTAAAAGATCAAATAAATTTAAAAAATTAAATTAATTCAAAAAGTTTAATATATTTCTACTGTTAATTTAAAAAAATGTTTAAAACATTAAATATACTCAAAAATTCAGAAAATTAAATTGGTAAAAATTTTAAAGAACTAATTTTAATTTTTATTTAAAAAAACATTTAATTCAAAAGTTTATTTGATTAAACCCATTCCATAATGTATCATATATATTTGGAAAGTTTGTTGTAGAAATTTTGTTCTGTTCAAAAGTTTAGTCGAGAACACTCAATCCATAGTGTATTATATATGTTTCGAAATTTTGTTCTGAAAAGTTGGTTTTCGGTCCGGATGGTCCTTCCAACTCGTGAATCGAACCGTTCTTGCAAGATCGACTCTTCCAAGGTCGATATGTCGCATGGTCCTCCTAACATCGTCTACTGAACGATTTTTCTCAAGCTGATCAGGCAGGTCTATCATCCAAGTTGACTGACCATCTAGATCGACCATCCAGGTCGTATGGCTCTTTCCAGGCCAACCAACCACCAGGCTGACCAACCATCCAATCCAACCGCCCAGGTCGTCCACCATCCTCCCAGGACGTCCTCCCATGATCATCCACCTAGGCCAAGCCCACTAGTAATGACTCATTAAGCCCCTAAAGGCAAATTAAGGTAGGATTGGGCCACTATTAGGCTAGTGAAAGGTAAAAGCTCATTACAACTAGTATAAATAAAGGTCTTAGGTATGACTTTAGACCATGATGCACAATATATATGCATTACTTGTTGTGCCAACTGTTCGATTACATTACTAACTTGAGCGTCAGAGTGTCTTTAACAAGTACCCGTCCATTCGGCTTGAAGAAGGATGAGGGGGAACGAACCTTATAACTTGGAGTGCAAGGACGACTAGGGAGCATGTTCGCCCTTCAACAAACCCGCCCGGTCTTAGAGACAACGAGTAAGGTCCGTCCGACCTTCAAGACAACCTAGAGTGCTTAGGTTCGCCTAGTCTTCAAGATTTGCCCAGTCTTCAAGGTCCGTCCAGTCTTCAAGGTCTGCCAGTCTTCAAGGTCTGCCAGTCTTCAAGGTTTGTTCAATCTTCAAGGTTTGTCCAATCTTCAAGGTCTGTTTGATCTTAGAGACAACATGAAATGTTTTGAACAAGGGACCTCCAGACCCTACCGAAACAGTTTCATACTACATTTCATGTGTTTGGGGAATAGTGTTCGAAAAATTTATGNTTGGAAAGTTTGTTGTAGAAATTTTGTTCTGTTCAAAAGTTTAGTCGAGAACACTCAATCCATAGTGTATTATATATGTTTCGAAATTTTGTTCTGAAAAGTTGGTTTTCGGTCCGGATGGTCCTTCCAACTCGTGAATCGAACCGTTCTTGCAAGATCGACTCTTCCAAGGTCGATATGTCGCATGGTCCTCCTAACATCGTCTACTGAACGATTTTTCTCAAGCTGATCAGGCAGGTCTATCATCCAAGTTGACTGACCATCTAGATCGACCATCCAGGTCGTATGGCTCTTTCCAGGCCAACCAACCACCAGGCTGACCAACCATCCAATCCAACCGCCCAGGTCGTCCACCATCCTCCCAGGACGTCCTCCCATGATCATCCACCTAGGCCAAGCCCACTAGTAATGACTCATTAAGCCCCTAAAGGCAAATTAAGGTAGGATTGGGCCACTATTAGGCTAGTGAAAGGTAAAAGCTCATTACAACTAGTATAAATAAAGGTCTTAGGTATGACTTTAGACCATGATGCACAATATATATGCATTACTTGTTGTGCCAACTGTTCGATTACATTACTAACTTGAGCGTCAGAGTGTCTTTAACAAGTACCCGTCCATTCGGCTTGAAGAAGGATGAGGGGGAACGAACCTTATAACTTGGAGTGCAAGGACGACTAGGGAGCATGTTCGCCCTTCAACAAACCCGCCCGGTCTTAGAGACAACGAGTAAGGTCCGTCCGACCTTCAAGACAACCTAGAGTGCTTAGGTTCGCCTAGTCTTCAAGATTTGCCCAGTCTTCAAGGTCCGTCCAGTCTTCAAGGTCTGCCAGTCTTCAAGGTCTGCCAGTCTTCAAGGTTTGTTCAATCTTCAAGGTTTGTCCAATCTTCAAGGTCTGTTTGATCTTAGAGACAACATGAAATGTTTTGAACAAGGGACCTCCAGACCCTACCGAAACAGTTTCATACTACATTTCATGTGTTTGGGGAATAGTGTTCGAAAAATTTATGTCGAAAAACATGTTCCAAAACTCATTCTAAAAATTCCAAAAAATTTACAAGGTATAAAATAGTATTTATTAGGCCTTTTAGTGATCCTCTTTCATTTGTGATTTCTTTGTAACATTAACATCCAAACATGATGACTAGTTGGTCTTCCAGCCCACCTTGTTCAAGGTCCAACCCTCATATAACCTTAGAAAATAAATGTACTGTTATAATCCTTTGACCTTTATATTGATTCTTTAACTCAAGGAAATAAAACTTGTTAGAAAATTCAAAGTCATTTGGTCCCCATAGCGCATTTCTAAAATATTTAAACTTTTCTTAGGAATTCAAAAATATAAAAAATATAATCAAAGCACATGATACATCTTTTGAAAGCCCAGGTATATAAAAACTAAGAATATAAATACAATAGGGAATGTGGAACTTTTACTTGTAGAAATAGAGCATGAACAACAATTTGATATTTGAGTAAAACCATATTATTAAGTTACCATCTAAATCAGAAAAAT